CTGAGAAGAACTATGCACTCGGCAGGACAGGAACTATTGAAGCTAGGAGAAAAAGCCTGATGGGACTCAGGCTTAGAAGGAGGGAAGCTAATGTCGTGAACATGGCTTAACATGGAAAAGATTTTCACGTGACACATGGGTATGAGTCACAGGTATGTTATTATTTCGCGCATATAACCCATTCAGGTTATATGAGTTGTTATGTGTGGGATTTGTGATGCTTTAGCACATGGCTCAAGTATGAGTCATGGGACGTGCGCCTGACGAGTATACCTGGCGAGGGTGCCTTGCGCATATGATTTATGTTTCGCGCATGACCTCATTATGAGGTCATGAGTTTCACGCATATGACTCAGTTGAGCCATTTGACTTGTTTATTGTGTTATGCTTGGTTTATGAGTTTTGCACATGACCTCACTATGGGGTCATGGGTTTTGAGCATGTGATCACTTTGGTTACACGATTAGTTTGTTATGATTTGGTTTCACACATGTGACTACTTTAAGTCACATGACTAAAGGCGGGAAGAACATTATATAAGGAGGTCGATGCGGTCGAGGAAGATAGGTTCTTCACGCTTTGTTCTAAGTACTTTTCCTACTTATTACTTTAACGAATATAAAAACACGTTTACGATCTTTATCTTTACTGCAACGTTATCGTTGCGCTGTGGAAGTCCTTCGAGAAGACCAGTTAGAGAAAGCTTACGATAGGCGTTCCCGATAGAAGACAAAGGTCTTGTACTATCGGTAATGTAGGCAGAGGCCTATAGCTATTGTAAGACAAAGAAAGAAGAAGACAGAAAAGACAAGTATCGTTCCCCATCACCAAGAACTAACTATCTAGAAAGGGATCGTTACATAAATACACTTAAATATGAGTAGAATCGCATGCCTCAGGAGTTAGTTGATTGCTTTTGTATAAATTTTCACCTTAATCTCTTACAGGTTCGGGTATGAGGCAGAGATAATAGATTTAATGCATAATTTGTCCTGGCAGCTTGCACTGCATGTCACAGTATTATTACTCTAATAGTTAGATCCTTATACCAGTTGTACACTATTGAGAAACCATACTTCTTTTGTGGAAAAGAACTTGCGCCACCTACTAGGACAAATAGGGCGCCAACTCTTGGCTGGAACACACGAGTATACTTGAGTAGTGGTATTCTATGTGTGACAGTGCCGGTATGAGGCTGGCATCAAAAATGATGAGCAGTTGCAACAAAAACAACCCTTAGAATTCTGATACAGAATACTCTGTAAGCAATATCTCATCCATAAAGAAAACTAATAGAATAAAAGTAAACTAAATATTAGAATAAAAATTAACTTTAAAGAAAATATAAGCAAAATTGTATTTGCATGCCTCATCATTGTTTTACTTGTCTGAGCCAATCAGACATACTCTCAATATACTCATTCCAATCCTCCAGTTCCAGATTCTCCCACTCCTCTTCTACAGCCTCACGCATTTCCTGAATGGTTCCTGGAAAGCTTTCTCATGCCTTAATGCGTTGCTTCATCAACCTTCAGGTGTTTTCAATGGGGTTGTGGTCTGGGGAGGCAGCAGGTCCAGGATGTAATCATATGCCTAACTTTGCCTTGACCCCAATCAAGGCATGGCAGATCCCATTTACTGCTGCTCTGTCTTCGACATATCGGGAGGCGGGAAATACCGAGTAACCTAACCAACCATGGAAAGCAGGAGAGACGATAGGTTCTAAGACCTGTTGTTGATAGTCCTTTATAACCAGGTCTTTTTTCCCACTACTAATAAGAAAATAAGGGGCGACTTCCAATCATGACTGATAGCTCTCCAAACATAAAATAAGCTCCTTCTACTATGAAAAGTATGTTGTAAACAATGATCGTGGTAGCGTTCGTGAGGTAAACAGGTGACCTAAGTGGATCCTCGTTTTCATATATCGAAGAAACACTCATCTGAGTACATGAGCTTTCTCCAAAAGTCAACTGGTTTTTGCCAGTACTCACAGCTGTACCTCATCTGTTCATGCTGATTCTGTCAATTGATAAAAGGCTTTTTTGCAGGCTTTACAGCGTGAATAACTATAGTGCGAAAGGGCCCCCTGAATTGTCCGTCCTGATACAGATAGCCTAACTTTCTAACCAAGCCATCTCCTGCACAACTTTCTCCCTTCCCATCCACTTCAAAGCCAACCAATCAACAGACGAATATCGTGTTTGTCCAAGTGGCGTGGGTGCCCAGGTCATAATCTTGTCCGTCTACACCTTGGTGTACAACTACATCGTGAAAATGTCGCACATGGAACATTGGTTTCATGGGCCACTTCTGACTGCGATAATCCTGTCTCTAATAGAGTAATTACTCTAGTTCGTGTCAGTGTCGTCCATGCACCCATTGGAAGCTGCCATGGTGGGGTATTCATATTTTAAAGTATTGGTAGGTGGTTGCGATGGTGAAAAATTTGCACGTTGCTGCTCATCATTTTTGGCACCAGCCTCGTACAAGTACTACAATATAATCTGTACCCGAGTACCGTACCTGTTTGCAATGGAAGAAACAAGGGAATCGGGTTAGCTTCCCTTAAGAAAACATTTCCATTCACCCGCCGATTGTCAGACTACTCGTACTGTACAGTACATGTAGGCTATCATCTTCATACCTCCTAAAACAGATACCACCTTTGAAAGAATTCCAGAAGACGGGTGGAAACCAATTTGCCGGCTAAAGAGGTGCTTGTATGATTTAGAATGATGCATTACCGTACATTACATGACATTTCCCCCTCTTCTCCTTTCTCCTCACCACACACCCTCATCGCATCCATTCCAATCGTTCCCCACGATATGCAGAGGAGAGTATGCCCCCCACACCCCATCACTCGAGTTCCGTTCCGACCTCGTCAATTCTTCCTTCCTTCCCTTCTTCCCTTCTCCCCTCCTTCTCTTCCAGCAACGAACGGGTGTCCCATCCACACCCTACCGCCCGCACGCCCGTAGATAAGTACGGTATGATAATCCTGCAGGAAGGAGCCAGGTCGTTTCCCTCTATTCCCGTATCACCGTACCGGCACTGTGCTTGCTCGCCAAAACCTCCCTTTCTCCCCTCAGTCTGTAGTATTCATTTACTTACCGGTATTTTTGCCCGAGACACTGAATATCTTGTATCTATCATACCTCTCGGTTATCAACTTATCATAATGGAGGACTTCCTGTAGGAATCTGGGCCAGGGTCTAGAAGGTCGGCCTCTGAACTCTAAATTTTCTGAAATCCGGGCTGCCCCCCTTTCCCCGGTTGGATTTGGAGGGCTCCGAGATCTAGGAACTTGGTCGACCGACTTCGAGGCCACGATTCTCGACGCATTGGGCCTTGTTTCTCAATTCACAAAATGGAGGGCATACAGGTTACTTGGAGGCGCAATCTCGCGAAAAATAATTTCCTGCTTGCATTTATGATATTAGCTTTCATACGTACCTTCATTTTAGTGCAACGATCATAATCTAGAAATTTAGGGAACTGTTTTTTTTCCAAGAGAATAGCGCGTGATCCAGGTTTTCCCTAGATCGCTAGGGGAAGTCCTCCATGCATCACCATCATCGCCATCATCATCATCAGGCAGATTTTGTGGCCTTGTCCTCGAGCACACTTGGCAGTTGTGTGTACAGTACGCGCGTGTGTGTGGGGGGGGGGGAACCTAGGCCCTGATTACGGGAGTTTACCTGTTGGGTGAGATAATTATACTCTAGTACCTAATTGCACAGCAGATGGGCGGGGCAATCCACCTGATGGTGGCAGATGGTCATATCATGCTGGTATGGTCGGTTTCAAGAAGAGTGCCGTAGACTACCGTAGACCAGACTACTCGTAGACTATGGTGCTTATATAGTGGTAGGGGTGGGGGTACCGGTGGGCTGACCGTGAGTGCGGCCGGTACGGTAGTTGTAGCTGATTGATCCGAAGTTTGGTTCGGGCTGGTGGGATTGACCATGGGCAAGGTAGGAGGCAGGCAGGCAGGCAGCGCAAATAATTTTTGGCAGCGGAGAAACTTATACCCGGCATTAGATTGATGGGGAGAGGAGGAGCTAGGCCGGAGTGGATTGGGTTGGTACAGTATTCAGTAAGCTGTGCTGTGGGGGAAGCGCCGTTTATGTCGCCGATAGTGGTATTATACCGTATTAGTCCTATCATAGGTTGTGTCAGTAGTTAAGATCCGGGCCCCATCACGGGGAATCACTCGGTATTAAGCGTTCCGGGGTCCCGAAAACAATCAGGGTGGAGCTCAGGAATCTTGAAGCGATATATAAGCTTGGGATTAGTTGCGATGCCGCTTAGCTGTCTTTCGGGTATAGTACCTATCCTTTTCCGACCGCCTATTGCCGAGCTCTACCATACTCATGTACGCGTGTAGCCTCCTAAGGCGGTGGGCAGCCTCGAGCGGCTCACTTATACCGTGGACCCCGAAAGGGTCCTTGAAAACCCGAATGTTGCGTGCAAACAAACAAACATTGGGCCGGGCCGGGATTGAATTGACAGTAGCGATCCAGCAACCAAGCGTCGGCACCGAGAAGCCGCCAAGGAAAAAGTTCCCCTCCCTTAGATGTGTTATCCTCCGCACAGCTAAACGGTCAACAAAGCTTGCCCGCGCTGGCCCTGCGGCCGGTTTAGAGCTTCGCAGTCTTTGTCTTGGCATGGCGGAGGAGGGGTGTTGTTGTCGCGTCGGTTTTCTTTTTTTTTTTTTGGGCTGCCCCCGCACCGCATGCGGGTAAGCGTGTCTTGTTCCCTACCTCACTTACTCAACCCTGACCTGTTGGTTAACGACAATTTTTTATCAGCCCGCAATATTATTCCGCTGTACCCTGATAACGTAGATATCACTTCTTCCCTCTCTTCTCTTCTCTTCTCTTCTCTTCTCTTCTCTTCTCCCTCCTCCCCTTCTTGCTCGAGCAACCTTTACAGCTTTTCGTCCTTCGTTTTTTCTTTTCATTTTTCCTTATCAATTGCTCCTTGCTACCCTTGTTAGACTATACCTTAGTTTGTTGAATCTCGATAGTAAAGGGACGATCCTCCCACCACACACTTCTATCGACGTGCTTATCATGGAGCAAGAGTAAGCTTTTATTTTATGTGTGATTTTTTTTTTTTGGTTATTTCACGGTCGAGGCGGGCTAACACGTGATTGTAGGATCCTCCATTTGCTGGGTGAGACTTTGTCCGCACAGGAGGGACCTAGAAGGAACGCCGAAGCTCAGATAAATAATTTATACGGGAATGACGGTTTGTCTTTTTCCTCCGCTGTGGTTTGGAAGGCGGGGAGCTTTTTTTTTTTTTAATCTGGGAATTTTATATGTGACTGATGTGCTATTTTCCCGAGTCTCTAGCGCTTCCCCTGGCTTTGATCCAAGTTGCGTCCACCGCTCACCTTAATATAACTGTCCGTCAATCAGCCTTGCTGGTCCTGAAGAGATATGTCCAGCATTGTTGGAGTGATGGGTTCGAAGAATTTACGGGACCATTAGCGGGCGATGGGATTAAAGACCGATTGAGGGACCCTCTTCTTGGCTTAGTTACGGACGAGCAGAGGAAGATTAGGTTTGCTGCCTCGTCGATTGTTAGCAAAATTGCTGGTGCAGGTTAGTTTAACTTGGGCGGATTGGGGGCGGGGGTCAATTGACTGGGTTTTGGTAGATTTCCCCGAACGCTGGCCGAATCTCCTACAGGGTCTACTGAATGTTATCAATACGAAGACCAGTACCGAACACCAGGTACATGGTGCCTTGCGTGTGCTCGCCGGTAAGCCTGGATATTTGGTACCGGATATATCAGGGCTAATGAGTCCTCATTAGACTTGGTCGATGATGGGTTTAGCGATGAGCAATTTTTTGCGGCAGCAGTGCAGATAGTTGCTGTAGCCTATGGCGTGGCTGATAGCGAGGATGTAAGCTTCGTAGAGCTCTCAATTGTATTGTATGAAGCTAACCACCCCCAAAGAGGGATTATACCATCCGGGCGCTTTCGGTGCTCATCTTTTATTCATGCATGGAAACTCTCGAGATGGTGAAGGATGATCATTCGGTAGAAGTCAATGCATTCGCCATGGATAGGTTGAACGAGTGGTTTCCATTTTTCATCCGTGTAATGAGCAAACCACTCCCGGATAGCACTGATCCCACCTATGAGGGCTGTGTGACACTAAATATCCAAGTGATTCGGGTAAGGCAGCCTACTTTCTTGCCTGTAATTGAAAATTTTATTAACGGTAATGCATCCAGACTGTTATGCAAGTCCGGAAAGTGTTCCCATCACTATTCGCCCCATATCTTCGCGAAGTTTTCCGAGTGACATGGAGCGGCTTGAATATGGTTAAAGATCGATATGTCCATGATTTCATCACCAAAGATTCTCAGGGAAAGCTTATCAACAGTGACGGGCTGCCTCGCACTCTCGACCTGCTTGTTTTAGAGCAACTGGATTTCATTCAAACTTGCTTGAAGAGCAAGCCACTGAGAGATGAGCTACTACAGGCAAGCAGGGGCGCTGGGGTTGATGCCCCCTTGACACAAATGGTGATGGCTACTATGGCTTTAGGCCAAGTCGCAAAGGAGGATGAAGGCTTGTGGGAAGTAGATTTGAATATCTTTTTGTGCGAGGAGAGCGCAATTTCTGCCAACTATACGCCAAGGACTGCCTCAGGGGACCTAATTCTTGTAAGAACCCTATAGAAAGTTTTATCCGCACTTTCTAATTTTAGCAGAAACTTGGAGAATGGTTCCAGACTGAGACTGAAGAAGCTTTGTGGGCTCACACGGAGCAGATTTTTGACTCAGGAGTAGGAAGGTTGGCAAATCTGGTGTCTCGATAATTTATTTATATACTAATATCTAGGTAGCTGTCAGATGAAGGAAGCGGCTTTGTTTGCTTGGGATCAGTTGTTGACTGAATTCGCTGAGATTGGTCTTAAGATCAACTCTGGTACTGCCGCAAATTTGCTGAGTTATGTAGCTGCCGCGATCAGTACTGAGGGCGAAGGTAATATTGGTTTTGGATTTTTTATATCAAAGAGCTTAGCACTAACCCATATATATAGAAAATCAACTCCTTCGTGCGAGAGGCTACTTCCTAGCAGGCACACTTACAAAGTCGAACTTCGAAACTGTGGGTTTACAGGTCGCAGAACTTATTACGCAAACATTGCGTGGTGCATCGAATGATCCCTCGAGTATTGTAAAAATATCTTGTATCAAAGTTTTCCAAAAGTGAGTCGAGTGCTTGTTTTCTCTGATTTGCTTTGCTGATATTGTATAGGTATTGTGAGACTGCTCCTTCGGAGATAGTGAAACCGTGTCAACCTGAGATCATATCGGCTATCCGTTCCTTCCTTGCAACAAAGGAGAAGGATGATGCCGAAGATAGTCAAGATGTCCTGGGAGAGTTGCTCGAGACCATGCGTGTTGCTGTTGGACTGGACTATTCGGCTGTGTTGAACCCGAATCTCCAGATTATAGACTTGGTTTTTGCTATCGCACAGAATGGTCCCCGTAGTCCTCACCTGGGCAGCTTGATTCACGAGATAATCGCAGATGTGACCGAGGAATTGTTTAGCTCTTTTGTGCGGTTATGCAGCCAAATTCTGCCTCTTATATCAACATCTTTGGCTATACAACCAGATGGGAAGGAACATCCCCTTATGAATGTAAGTGCGCTTGTTTGGAAATTGGCTTCCGGTTTTGAGATTTTACCTAACCTTTTTTTATATTATAGCTTGCTGCAGATATTCTCGCTGTTTTGGTTCACAATGGTTCGGAACCTCTCCCTAATGGGTTTGTTGTAGCAACTGTACCACACCTTGCAAGGATTCTCCTCCATAGTGAGGACACCGAAGTGCTGCAAGCTGGATGTGAGGCTTTCAAGGAGATCGTCAAGCATGACATCAAGCAGTTCCTCGAATGGCATGACGGGAATGGGAAATCTGCGCTCGAGGTTTCCCTCATTATAATCGACAGATTGCTGAGGCCAGAAATTGCCGAGGGTTCTGCTCTTGAAGTTGGAGGACTGGCAGCGGAGATCGTGGAAAAGGTATTTCATGTCTCATCATCTATTCTCACCCGGATATCAATTAACCGTTTAGGCTGGTGATCATCTTGGTCCATATCTTCCCGAGTTACTTGGCGCGGTTGCACGCCGTCTAGCTACTGCGAAAACCCCATCTTTCATCCAGGTTTGTCCAAGCCTCGTGAATCATTCAGAATGGTTAATTAACGGGGGTTTCAGAGCTTGATTTTAGTATTTGCACGTCTCGTTCTTAAGCAAGCAAAAGATGTGGTGGAATTCCTCGCAGGGCTCTCCATTGGAGATAGCAACGGGCTGCAGGTCGTCATCAATGCATGGCTCGCCAATTCCAGTATCTTTAGTGGATATGAAGAGATTCGCCAAAAGTAAGTTCAACGTACTTAACTCTTGTTGGTATTGGGAATTGACGAGTGGATAGTGTTTTCGCCTTGTGCCAACTTTACCGGTTGGAGGACCCAAGGCTCTCACAGATTATGGTTCAGGGTGATTTGATCGTACCGGAGAGCAATCGTATTATGACCAGATCAAAGGCCAAACAAAGTCGGGATTTGGATCTCCAGTCTCGATCTGTTTTTTTTTTTTGGTGGATGAACTATAGCTGACTTACTTTTTTCAATTTCTAGCACCTGATCAGTACACTAGCGTCCCGGTGCCCGTCAAAATCATCAAACTCTTGATACTAGAATTAGGATCGGGAGGTGGCGATCCTGGTGCTTCTTTCAGCGGAGGCGCGCTTGACGATGAGGAAGTTAGCGATGATGGCGACTGGGAGGATGAGCCGTCCGTGCTGGGGATGGCTGGGATGACGAGGGAGGGTCAGTATAGACTTGAGTTTACGGCCGATTTTTGGATCCTTGGAATTTGCTAACATGGTTAAAGAGTTGCTCGCTCTGGGTGGCTCTGGGCGCCAGTCAAGGCAAGCGGACGATATTACTTATGTAAGGCAACTGCCCATTGATCTGGGGTTTCCTTTGTTTACTAATTGTTTAGACATACTTGATCGGTTTCTTCCATGAGGTATCCACTCAAAACATTGGAGGCTTTCAGAATGTATTCTCTGCCTTGAAACCCGAAGAGCAGAAGCAGTTGTCTCAGTTGGGTTCGCCCCAAAGACAATAATTCCCCTCCAGATTAATCCCTAGGTCGGCGTCTTTGTTCTGTACATTGGGCGCATACGCCTATAGAATGGTTGAATAAACTGGAAATAATCCATGCGTTTTCTTTCTCGTGACAATTTACAACGCACCAGAGTTGCAATCCCTCTACAAAGCCAGGCCACGGCACCGTAGTAAAAGGAATGTTGCTTGTTCTCCGCATTGGAATGGCATGGCATGATCTGTCCTTCGAGATCACTCCAACATTTCTGCCTTTCTACGACAGACACCCGTACCGTACGCTAATAATCTGTATGTTCTTGAAGAAAATATCCCCGATCACCTGAGTGCATGCATGGCCGTTATGGGGGAACAAAGAGTGCAGTCCAGCGAAGTACACCACCAGTAATTATGTAATAAGCCATGTGTGGGAGTACAAGGCGCTGCAGCCGTTATACCAACAGGTACCGGCAGCCCCTGCCCTTCGGGAGTTGGATTGTTTTCCCAATCCATCCCTCAGTTCAGTTCTATCGATACCGGTACAATCCAATCCAATCCGGTGTTCGTATGATGAATAGTAACAATAAAACTCCCATCTAATCCTGTGCTTCGATCGATCCATTTATTCATTCAGCTAGCCCAGCACCGGTAACTTACCATACGAATCCCATTTCCGGACACCCATCGCGTGCGCGCTACCGGTGCGGGGCATCACGGTACGATAGTCTAACAAATGTCTTGGAAGATCCCCACTTCTCACCTTGCGGCACAGTACGAGTAGAGTACGGTAGACTTCCGTACGGCATCATACGAGTACTCGAGTACCGCGTTTAGCCTACGATACCCAAGCTCTGTTACCCCATGGCTCGGCTTCCGCCCCCTCCTTCCTTCCTTCCTCACTCCCGTGCTCACCTTTTCTTATGATACTTGTACAGTGTGCATGTGATCACTACAAATCACTCGCTGTGGCAGCCTACTCACCGGTGGAGGAGCTCTGCGGTTGCTTGAATTGTGGTTAGGTAAGTGAGACATTGTTCTTCTATACAGTACTCGGGTATATCATGTATCCATTGTACTCGCGCAGGGTTATTAAGGGCGGAAAACTTTGGGTGGCGAGACAAGGACCGTGAGCGCTGATCAAGGTGGGTGGGTGGAATGGAAGGAGGATGACAGGGTATCATGAACCCAGGATTGTTGCACTGAGTGATCAACCATGATGGCGAGTTTCTGAACAAAATTGGGTCATTGGTGGAAGACTCTTTGAGTCTACTCTTTACTACTCAGATTAAGAGTTTAAGGAAAGGTAATAAACAAAGAGTGAGGGTATGCGAATACAATAAAGTAGAAATATCAAATAAGTTAACTACTACAGTGCCGCTAGAAAAGTTTGGAGACAACCATCCCGATCGCCAAGTTGTCTACAACTTCCACTTACAACACCAAACCCACCTCCCAAGACAACCACGATGTCCAGAGATACCAAGACCGGAAAGAAGAGACAAGTGAGTGCAGAGGAAAGAGTGAATGTGATTGAGAAAAGGGGAGAGGGAAAAACCTATCGGCAAATTGCGCAAGAAGTTGGATTGTCTAAATCTGAGGTAGCAAGGATTTGGCACGGTTGGAAGACAGAGGGGAAGCTGGGCGCAGCGCATCGATCCGGGAGACCACTGAAGCTCAGTATCCGTGATGTCCGCTACCTGCGCAGACTAGTGGACAAAGATCCATCTGCATCGCTTATTGAAAATATATCACAATCAGGGCTAGAAGTTAGTCCATGGACTGCTGGGAGGTACCTGAGAAAATCAGGTTATTGGGTCCGCATCGCGCGCAAAAAACCATACCTGGATAAGACGGGGGTGAGCAAGAGGTACACCTGGTGCCTGCTACGGAGAAAATGGGGAGCAGAGAGGTGGAAATCGAAGGTTTATACCGACGAATGTGTTGTAGTTATAGGTACAGGAGTAGGGCCAAAGAAAGTGCGGCGACCAACAGGACCCGACTCCGCAGTGGATCCTCACTATTTAGCTCCCACATTCCGTTCAGGACGTTTCTCGACCGCCTTCTGGGCAGCGATCACCTACAACAATCATACTTCCATGATTCCTATCAGGCGAAGAACACCAGATGAGCGTACAAGCGATCAGGATCGTCTAGGTATGAATACTGTACAGTATACCTATGAGATCTTGGAACCTTTCCTGGTTCCCTTTGTCTATAGTCTGCCTGGTGAACCCGAATCCCATGAGACTATTGAGGATGGACTAAAGGTTCATACCTCTGTGTTGGCAAAGAGTTGCAGAGGAGACTAGGGATTGGTTAGGAGCGATTGGCCTCCTAGTTTGCCAGACCTCAACCCTATCGAGAATGTCTGGCATATGCTTAGAGTCAGACTCGAGAAGCGAATTTCTCGCCTCGGAAGACGGCCTCAAGATGAGAAGGAGCTGGTGGCAGCTGCACAGGAGGAGTGGGAGAAGTTAGGTTGAAAGGCAGTAGATAGAATGATTGAAAAAATGGGAAAGAGGATACAGGAGGCAATTAAAATGCGGGGAGGTCATACTAAATATTGATATTATGTACACACATGTCTCTCTCTGTCTCTATAGTTATTTTATTTTTATTATTCTTGTTTATCAATATGTTTCCTGTCTCTATCACGGTTGATGAGGCATGCCAAGCTGTTTTGTCCCTGAACTTTTCTAATGGCAATGTACAAATAAATGAAAATTATAAAACGAATGTAAATTAAGAGGAATAAGTCACAGAAACAAGATTAGGAATAGAAAGAAAAGTAAAAACATAAAAGAACTCACTACAATCCTCTGATATTGACCGAATATCATGTTCTGAAGGTCTACACTCTTTGCTATTGGGGTAGTAAGGTTCATGCTTGATCTTGTGATCAAATATGAATGGAAGAAGAGAGGCCTATTCTCGCAAGCAATACATACCAATTGTAACAATCCCCTTTCAAATAGTTAGTTCTTGGCAATGGGGAACGATACTTATCTTTTCTTTCCCTTTCTTTCTTTGTCTTACCATAGCTCTAGGCCTCTGCCTATGTTACCGATAGTATAAGACCTTTGTCTTCTATCGGAAACACCTATAGTAGGCTTTCTCTAACGCGTCTTTCGTAACGAGTGCTTCCTGGCGTAGTGATAACGTTGCAATAAGGATAAAGATCGTAAAGGTGTTTTATATTCGTTAAAGTAATATGTAGGAAAAGTACTTAGAACAAAGCGTGAAGAACCTATCTTCCTTGGCCGCATCGGCCTCCTTATATAGTGTTCTTCCCGCCTTTAATCATGTGACCTAAAGTGGTCACATGTGCGAAACCAAATCATAACAAACTAGTCATGTGACCAAGGTGATCACATGCTCAAAACCCATAACCTTATAGCGAGGTCATGTGCAAAACTCATAAACCAATCATAACACGATAAACAAGTCATATGACTCAACTGAGTCATATGCGCGAAACCCATGACCTCATAATGAGGTCATGTGCGAAACATAAATCATATGCGCAAGGCTTACCCGGAAGGCACACTCGCAAGGTATACTCGTCAGGCACATGTCCCATGACTCATATTTGAGCCATGTGCGAAAGCATCACAAATCCCACACATAACAAATCATATAACCCGAATGAGTTATATGTGCAAAACAATAACATACCTGTGACTCATAACCATGTGTCACGTGAAAACCTTTTCCATTCTAAGCCACATTCGTGACACCAATATAGAACAAAACCCAAATGAGAGAAGGGTTAAAGGAAAAGCCAAAAGAATGAAATAAAAAGAACATTCCCCAATACTGGAAACCTACCTACCATAAAAACTTGAATAAACAGATCATATTCAATATAGTCCAGAACTTCCTCCTTTTGAGACTTGGAAGTGGGAGAAGACACACCAAAAAACACATTTCCAGAGGCAAAAAAAAAGTAAAAAAAAGTGGGACTTTACCAGATAGGGTAAGGCCAACATTGTAGTACATAGTCTGTTTATTCAAGCTGTTATAGTAGGCTAGCTGAGGTCAATACTTGCGCTGTGACCCCAGCTACCTAGATGATGAAAACCCAAAGAACCTGTCCTTTATACCATGTAATTTGGGGTCCAAACAGTGAATTATTGCCATACTACTAGGAGGTATAACCTCCACAATTATATAGGAGCTCGTTAACTTGCTGAGAGAGTGAGGAAGTTAAATTGAGAATCTCCTCTAGTGTAATACGATCTCATTCCTCTTGAATGGCAGTATAGAGGACAAGGACAGTAATTGGCTGTTGTTGTCAGTTTTGGATCTGGAATTACTATAGTAGACATCATATATCCTTAACTAGTCTCATATTAGAAGAGCTAGGTGGCAATGGAAAAATATAAGGCCTGATTCCAAATTCTTCGAAAACTTGTAGAGAATGCCTTGACCTGTGGACTGCTGATTTATCCTGTTGAAAGTAGATATAGCCAGTGTTTATAGTGCTAGCTTCATGAATGGAGGTATACTAGGGAAAAAGATGAGGGTAAATAATTTGATCAATGTAAGTAGACCCATTAATCTTTCCCCAATTTGCCATATCTTAGAAGACGAGAGGGCCTTTGAGATCACAGTAAATAGCTCTCTACACTATTCTAGTTATAAGAGGTAGAAATTTTAGAATCAGAAAATCCTCTAGATACTCCACCACAGGCCAGCGAGTAACCCAAAATGTTCCAGGCATATTACTGAGAGAAATGGCATACTCATTGGACCAAACTACATCCTACCAAACATCCACTCTCTAGTCTTGGTATCTCTCCCTCCCTATACCTGACACTGGCTCTTAGATGCTTGGGAAAGAAATGGCTAGACTCAAGCAACATAGTGGTGATAGCCATGACTCGCAAATAGTCGTCTTAGCACCCATGCCCCAATACTCACTGCAGCCATATCAGCAATTTAACTGAGGGGAATCTGGCGATTATAAGCATTAGCACTAGTGGTATCAATAGGTTGCTGCAGGATCTCAGGAGGAATTGTAAGAGGGTGACCTGGGTGGATGTAGAGATGCTGCTCACATATAGTATTACTATGAATAATACGATGAAGGGTATCCTGGGACACATGGAAAATTTGA